GGGGGGGGGGCGGGGTAGGGCGGTCTAGGACCCCTGGGACAGCGCGGCACTGCCAGGGCCCCTGGGTACCCCACACTTGACTTGAGCTGGGCTCTGTTCCTGCCAGCCCTGCTGGTGCCCCTCACTTCGGACCCACAGCCCCCTGCCCCTCTCCTGGTGCGGTTCGTTGGAGCAGTGGGTTCCCCCATCCCATGCTGCGCTCTCCCCAGGATCACACGTGCGTGCTCAACAGCATTGTGGGCTGGGACAGCACCATCGGGCGCTGGGCCCGGGTCGAAGGGACGCCCAGCGACCCCAACCCCAACGACCCCTACGCCAAGATGGACAGCGAGACCCTCTTCCGGGACGGCCGCCTCACACCCTCCATCACCATCCTGGGTAGGTGCTGCCTTGCCCCAGGCTGCCTGGGCCATGTGCACCATGAGGCAGGGCCTGGGGGAAGCTGCTCACCATGCATCTGGTCATCTCCACGCAGGCTGCAATGTCACCATCCCCGCCGAGGTTGTGATCCTCAACTCCATCGTCCTGCCCCACAAGGAGCTGAGCCGCAGCTACAAGAACCAGATCATCCTGTGAGAGGCGGCTGCAGCTGGAGGACCTGGCCCAGGCCCTGCCGCCCTGCCCTGGCACCTGCTGCGTTAGAGATGGGCATTAAAGCTGCATCTGCACCTGCCCCATGTCTGCCGCTTCCCTCGGGGCAGGGCTGTATGCTGTGGCTAGTGAGCTCCTGCCGCAGACCAGGGGCAGCTGGTGCCCAGATGTTGGTCTCCGTCAGGGTCCTGTCTCCTGGCCCTGGTGCCCTCAGAGCCGGGCTGTGGCTGCAGCTGCTGGGCTGCTGCTGCCTGCGTCTCCCCGTGCCCAGCCCAGCGTGGTCACAGGACCACCTCACAGCTGAGTTGAGCTGGTGGCAAGGACCCCGGCACAGCTCAGGGGAGCTTCATGCCAGACTCAGGCCCCGTCATAGCTCAGGCCAGGGGGCTGGGGCTGGCAGCTGGCTCTGCTCCCTTGTCACCCCTTTGCTCTCTCCATATCTGGCAGCTCCTCACCTGGGAGCCCTGTTCTCCCCTTGGAAGCGCTGGGAGCTCAGCCCTGCCACGTGCTGTTAGCTAATGATTTGCAGCCCAGCGTAGCGTGCCCCAAGTGACACTGTGCCTTAGAGCACAGGCGCCAGCTGGGATTTCCAACTTTACATATGAGGTATTGGGGACTTGGGTCACGAGAGAGAACAGGCACGGGTCAGCGTGCAGCGTCACATCAGTGTCACGATACATGAGGCTAGTAGCAGTCGGCTAGTTAACACCTTAAACAGTTATGTAGCAGCTCTGGTGCGTCCCTGCAAACTGGCCTCAGCCCCGCAGCTGCCCTGCATGGGTCTCCAGGGCAGGAGCCGCAGTTGCGGTCTGAATCCAGCTGCGCGTCTTCCCCTCTCTGCTTGCAGCAGCTGCTGCTTTTTCCCCACCTTTGTCTCCATCTCCCCACAGCCGTTCGTCTGGACTGGCCTATTTCTGCCTCCCCACGTCTCCCTCTCGCGGACGCTTGTGGGACGCGCAGGTGGTTACAGACTCGCAGCCGCCTCGCGTACAATTCACAGTACATGACGTTACCCCCTTCTTAGCATGCCACATCCACTAACGTGATGCTGTGTCGTCGCTAAGCCTCCCCAGGGCTCTTCTGTCTCTTTTAGGTCTTCCTGGGGATTCAGGACCATGGGTATGGGCTTGGGCAGGCTTTGAGTACCCTGTCTCCTCTTGACACTTGCTGACCATCACTATGGCCAGGTCTGTCAGGCCTGGCGGGGACAGGTTCCTGCTAGTCCTGGTAGGCTGTGTCCAGCCTGGGTCTCCCGTTGGCACTAGTTCTTCCCCAATCCTTCCCACCAGACAACTGGCCTGTGAGCACCGTTTGGCAGCACTTCGGGCCTATCAGGTTATGTTGTGGGCCGGGTCGTGCAGCCCCTGGCAGTGCCTCGGTTGCTGTGTCGGCTGCGCCGCCCCCTCGTGGGGCCAGGTCCCTGCCCCGCGAGCGATGTAGGGCTTCATCCAGTTGCAGTGTACAACCAGGCTCTGGGCTGGGCCGGCCTGCCAGCTCGTGCGACTCGTTGGACAGCTTCGTCACAGCTGTTAGAGGAAGCCCCCGTCCTCGTGGCTGTGCCAGCTCTTGGGTCTGATGGTTGTGTTGCTTCTAGGGGGTGCTGTCAGGCTCTCCCCTGCTACCGCCTCGCACGCTCCCATTCGACCTGCTGCAGTGGATGGGGAAACGTCCCACCGAGGGACCTGAGCAATCTGCGAGGGCTGCACCGGCCTCAAGTTGTTTCAGGAAGTCGGTGCATCAGGTAGCATCCCTTGCTGCAGGGACGGTGCGGGGCAGTGACAAGTTGTGGGAGCTGGTAGCTGTACCCCGCCCCCAGGGTTTGGGGCACCTCCCCGCTGCCTGCTTTTGACACTAGTTGACGGGTGAAGCTTTCTATCCCTTGGTCCCACGCCAGCCATGTATGAGGGATACTGAGCACCTAGAGCTGGGACACTTTTCTCCAGGAGGGGAGAAAGGGACCTCTCCTAGCCTTTCTTCCAGGTGCCTCAGTCTTACACGGCCAACAATGATCACCCTGTCCCGTGGGCCTTGGGGTGGAGCAGCAGTGGCTGGGCCCTTCTCCAATGCCTGCCTGAGTTTCCCTGCCCGGGATGCCATCTCTCTCTAGGCAGTCCTTCCGGAAATGGTCATGGTCACGGAGTGCCAGCCTCCGCCGGCAGCCTCCTGAAGCAGCCCCAGCCGCTGTGCTCCAGGTGGGCCCTGGCTGCCACATGCGCTTGGGCCTCAGCTTTCTGAAGTCTGGTGGATTTTGTCTGTTCCACCCGGAAGTTTCTGCATCGCCGCCGGCAGGGCTGGCTGCACGGTGCCGGCTCACCTCTGGCAGGCGCGTGGATCCTGGTCTTGGGGCGCCCGTCTGCTCTGCCAGCTCCAAGTCTCTGCCAGGTGCATGGCTGCCTCCTGGCTCGGGGGGTTTCCCAGCCAAAGCTGAGCAGGCGCATTGCACAAAACGGACCCGGGCAAGTGGGCCATACACATGGGAGGCGAGCGGCGGGAAGGTCTCTGCGGCCAGTTGTTGCAGCGCCAGGCCGAAGTCTCGTGCCGACTCTGCGGGTCCTCCCTCACGAGCTGAAAGCCAGGCTGGCCCAGCTGCGGTCTGCAGCTGGGTCAAAAGTTCTCCCTGGGGCCTCTATCAGGCATCCGTAATTTTGCTTGGTGTCGGTGCCAAGGGCATGGTAGACCGCCCCGGCCTCCTGGTGAGCAGCAGGCCCAGGAAGTCCAGCTTGACCGTCTCCTCCCATGCGTTTACCTTCATTGCCGGCTTGAACTGCGCATGCAGCCCCCCGCCCTAGGGTGCCGGGGTGAAGGGTGGCTGTAGGCGCTCACTACAGCGGTTTGCCCTGCGCCGGTGACCTTTGTCGCTCCTTTATCCTGTTCCCACCAGTTCATCCAGATCAGCTTGGGCCACACCAGGTCTTGCTGGTTGTCACTTCTCCGTCAGGCTGGCGCTCGGGGGGGCTGTAGGCAGACGAGGCTTCTTGGGTAGATGTGTTATCTTTTATGAGACCAACTAAATACAGGCAGTCCTCGACCTACAACGTTTCACGCTTACAAGGTTTATAAACGGACGCCCTGTTTCAGCTTTATGACATCAGTTTCAGCTTTACAACGCTTGGTACGTCAATGGAGCTATATTACTCATCTCTAATTGATGGAGTACAAAATTCTGGGGTGTTTTTGGTGAAAATAGGATGTTGGGCCTTGGTTCAGGAACCAACCCCCCCCCCCGATTCAGAACATTGTTTCTTATGAGAAAATCGGTTCTGAGTTACGACGTTTTGACTTGTGGTTTCATAGATTAAGGGTCGGAAGGGACCTAGTAGATCTTCTAGCCCGACCCCCCGCCAGGGCGGGAGAACAACAAGACCCCAAAACAAGAAACGGGACTCAAATGAGTCCGGCCAGGTAGGCATCCAGCCTCTTCTTAAAGACCCCCAGGGTAGGGGCCAGCACCACTTCCCTTGGAAGTTGGTTCCAGCTCCTAGCCGCCCTAACTGTGAAGTAGTTCTTGCGGATGTCCAATCTATACCTCCTCTCCATCAACTTGTGCCCATTACTCCTTGTTATGCCAGCGGGCGCTAGGGGAAACAGCGTCTCCCCCAAACCCTTCTGGTCCCCCCTAGTGAGTCTATAGACGGTCACCAGGTCCCCCCTCAGCCTTCTCTTGTGGAGGCTGAATAGGTTCAGGTCCCGCAGTCTCTCACTGTAGGGTCTGCCCTGTTGTCCCCGGATCATGCGGGTGGCCCTCCTCTGGACCCTCTCCATATTGTCCACATCCCTCTTGAAATGGGGCGCACAGAACTGGACACAATACTCCAGCTGTGGCCTGACCAGCGTCGCGTAGAGGGGGAGGATCACCTCCTTGGCTCTACTCGAGATGCACCTGTGGATGCACGACAAGGTCCGGTTAGCCCTGCCAGCCGTGACCTCGCATTGTCGGCCCATGTTCATCTTGGAGTCAATAATGACTCCAAGATCTCTTTCTGCCTCCGTGCTCTCGAGTAGGGAGTTCCCCATTGTGGTTTTTCAGGAACCGATTGTGTCATAGGTCTGAGGGCTGCCTGTAGTTGGAAAAATGGTTCTTTGCAAGTTTTGGGGCACAACACCCCCCCTTCAGGCACAGGGTAAGTCTGCTGGTGCACCCATTCATGGGTGGGATAGACACCAATATGCAAACTGCAGGTCTGTGAAAATGCAAATTGGTGACAGGGCAGATCCACGGCGATGCAGGGAGGAGGGATGCTGCCCTCGGGGGAAGATGTAACTGGTAAAAATGCAGAGGTTACCTGGGGCTACCAGGTGGTTATAATGTGCCATAAACCCAACATCTGTATTTAGTCCATGATTTTTGTGTCCAGTAGATTTCCAGTTCACAACACCAGCAGAGGCACTGGTGAAGCCCGGGGCTGGGGGGGAGCCCAGGGTGCCTGCTGGGCCTTGGGTGCCAGGGCTCCCGCAGCTGGAGCACAGTGCCGCCTCTTGGCCGCAGGCCCGCAGCCAGGCCTGTGACTCGCACTAGCCCCGGGGGCAGGCTGCCTGGAGCCCCCCACCGGTGACCCTGGCCAGAGCAGATGGAGCCATGTGTGCTGCTTCCCCGGCTCAGCCTCTCCCCCAATTGCTGGTAGCCTCCAACCCCTCCATGACTCCCGGGGCCTCTGGCCTCCACCGTCAGTCCTGTGCTGGTGCACGTGGCTGACCCCCGGGGTCAGATTTCAAGGAGGTCTGGCTCAGCTTGACCCCAGCCCCAGCTCCGGCCCCTCGGTGCAGCTCAGGGCCCAGAAGCAGCGAGGCTTTTCCCTTCATGCTTGAGCTGCCGCTTTGTCGTGTTTGTGCTGCAGGGTGCCCAGCACGTCAGCCAGGATTCGTGCTTGTGGTCTCCCTGTGTGCTAGCCCCGGCTGAGACCAGGATGGCCCAAACCCGCTCCAGCAGCAGAGCCGGGGGGGAGCAAAGGGGAATTGGAGTGGGGGGCAGACGCGGTACTGGCAGGGGGAGCAGCGGGGCAGGTTTGG